AAAAAAAAAAAAAAAAAAGGTTGAAGGAAAGTGGTGTGGTAAAAATAATCTTAATTTATATACATTTTTTTTTTATAGTAATATTGGGTAGGCTTTATTAAATAAAATATTTTAGATAGGCTGTAAAGCTGGTAATAATACTAAATTACTAATAATAATAAAAGTAAGAATGAATAATATTTCTAAAATTTTTATATGTTGCAATAAGTTTCATGATATAAATTTTGGCCAGATAAAAAATATCCATGCCCAAAAGATTTTTTTTCCTGCAAAAAACATAAAACATAAAATTTTATTTTTATATTTTATATGTACAATATGGGTTCAAATATTTTTTTTAAACATACATTATTAATTTTATTTAAAATAACTGATAGAATAATTATAATCAATTAGTTTAGTATAGGAGATTTGTTAAGTGATAATTGTCTTTCGAATTTAAAGTTAATTTACTCATTTATATCAACATTATGCATCAATAATAATTTCTTTATTCATTTTGATACTAATATAATTGCTGGTATGTAGCATTTAATAAAACATTTAATAAAACCTCTAAAATTTTCCCTCCATTTTCGGTTACAAAATTTGTCATTAATATTTTTTACTTCTCACATTAATATACCTTAATGAGTGTAATCATGTATGTTTCTATTATATTATATAATAGTTATTGTTAATACCAACTAATAATAATTCACAATAAATATAAATTACATAATTAACAGTTGTTTCAAATTATGTATTTTAACATCAATATTATCTTTTTCTTTTGTATCTCATAAAAATATTTCTTTAAAAATAATTAATAAATTGTTTTAATAGCATAGTTAAACAACTTTAGAATCTTATAAACAATTATTTTTTTAATAATATATATATATATATAATTGCTAGCTTAGCATTTAATTTTACCTATTTAATAAAACCACTAAAATTTTTCCTCTATTTTCAGTTACAAAATTTATCATTAATATTTTTTTACTTCTCACATTAGAACATCATATTAAGTGTAATCATATATTTTTCTTCTATATTATATAATAGTTATTGCTAATACCAACTAATAATAATTCACAATAAATAAAAATTACATAATTATAAACAATTGTTTCAAGTTAGTTATATTAACATCAATTTTATCTTTTTCTTTTATATCTCATAAAAAATTTATTTAAAAATAATTAGTAAATTGGTTTAATAGCATAGTCAAACAACTTTAGAAGCTTATAAATAATTTTTTTAATAATAATAATAATAATAATAATAATAATAATAATAATAATAATAATAATAATAATAATAATAATAATAATAATCAATCTGTTATTATCTAATGATAATAAATAATTGTTTATAATAATAAAATTGTTAATTTATTTTTCCTAATGATCAAATTTTTGAAAATATAATATGTTCATTATCTGAATTTTAATATTAAATTCTCAAATATTACTTACTAATATTTTATGTACATCTGTACATGTGCAGGATATCTACTAGTTATGCATCAATAATAATTTTTTTATTCATTTTGATACTAATTGGGCTGTTTTGAAATCCCTGTTGGGTTTGGGTTTTGTCTCATCAAGTGAAGTGACCATAGCCCATTGGTCAATTTGATGAGTTTGGGCTGTCTCATTAAACGTTTGGGCTATACCTTCAATATCCCCATTTTACATGGGTGTTACTATTAAATTTACACCTATTTTATAAATACTTACACCTAATTTTAATATTAATAAAATCATTAATAATTAATATTATACTTTAATTGAACTTGTGAACCTTTTCAATATTTTTTGCAAACCTTCTTCACAAAATTCACCTCTATATCAATTTATCGAGAATCGATATTAGCACACCCCCTTAATCTTTTTCCACTTAGGCGTTCGGGATAAAAATTGAGGACATAATGACCTCGTTTACTTACAAGGATAGGATGAGATATCGACTTTTGAATGGCCGAATGAAGCCGTAGAACGGGAAGGCCATAGTAAGGAATGAGTAAAACCAATCTAGGTGTACTTATTTAAAAAAATAATATATTTTATTTATTTATTTATTTATTTGAAATTTTAAAATTGAGGTGTACGTATAAACTAGGTGTGAATGGCAGTAGCCTTTTAACATTCATGCAGAAAATTGAACGTAGTTGGATTGTCTTATAATAAAAGGTTTAATTAGTTTTTGGTCAAAAAAGATTTTGTTAAAGGCTATTTAAGGTTTGGAGTCCATATGAATGTAGAAAATTCTTGTTGAGAGACTCACCCATCATTTTCAGGTTTGCGATTCGAGTCGACTAACGAAATAGTTTGGGCAAAGCTCCAGATACCGTGGTCATTGACATCTACATAAAGGCTCGTAGGGGCACGGGCCCCTATAGAATTTTTAGTAATATGGTATATATATTA